AACGTTATATTACATCAGGTAAATCTCATTAATTTATCCGACTAGGAAACACACACATCTCTCGCGGGCCACATAAAATGACGTGACGGGCCGGATTTGGCCCGCGGGCCTTGAGTTTGACACATGTGGTCTAAACTGTTGGCTCCCTGTTTAAACGCATGCGATCTAGCACCTCTGGCTTTTTCCCTGAAGCTTCACACACGTTACAAAAGCTAGCAAAGGTACTCTTTAAGTAGGACGCCTCCATTATTTTACCTGCAATAAAAACCTCTTGTGAGGAACAACAATGAAAAAAACAAAACATTATATTCAATTTTGCACAATTTTGTTAAGCAGCTTAACAAAATTGGGTGACATGCTCCTTCATCAAAGCACCACAACCAGTGTGGTGTATTTTAAGTGACTCGCATCTGGTGCACAATAACCCACAACTAGAAATTCTAATTCATACTGTTGGAGTACATTGTGCATACAGGAATAACTTTCCCTAAAAGCTTCCAGTGCCAGGATGTTTTCAGCTTGCCTTTTAAAAACAACAACAACAACAACTTTGCACTTGTTATAAGAATTCACATCTTCAGTGGGAACAAGCGGGGTTGGACCTAAGTGCCACAGTTAGGAAAGTCAAGAACGAATAAGCGCACAATAGCACCTTGCTTTGGGTCTATTGATCAGATTTGCTGACAGTAAGAAAAATCTTGAAGCAGCTGAACAAAATTTGCAAATTAGCAATTTACACGCAACAGTTAAAAGATTTTTTTTTTTTAAAAAAACAACAAAAAACTGCAAAATCACAACATAGATGCATCAGTTACATTTCACCACTGTGTACACACACACACACACACACACACACACTATTTGCCTCCTTCCCAAAAACATGATTCAGTGTCTTCCTTGTAACACGACACAAGACAAGGAAGTGAGAAGACGGGCCACTCCTGTTCGAGTGCTACGAGCTACACTTACTGCGTGGGTTGGACCTACGCCAGGCTGACTACACACACATTTCCTCCAACATATATCAGAGATTCAGTGCCAGAATCTTAAATCACTATCACCGTGGTCCTTGAAGATGTTCCTGACATGGCTGATGAAAGGCCAGAAGATGATCCGATGGCTTCTAGCTGATCTCGGCTTGATTCAGCCATGATCAGCTGGTTTGTTTTCTTCTTCATCTCTAGATTTACACCTGATTTAGGAATGATTACCGATTGAGCTCGGGTGAACGGCGAGCTCGTAGCTCCTCTGATAAATCACAGTAATACAAGTCATTCCTGGTTACACACGGTTGTTTGCGAAAGGAAAAGTACAATGGCAGAGTGGAGTTTAGCAAACAAGGAAGTGTTAATTTCAGAGGCTGCTGGTAAATTACTGTATTCATGTGACGTGTGGCTTCTCCTGCAGAGAGAAAGAGACGGTGTGAGGATGAGAGCTTGCAGACATTTGGTATTGTCTATTTAATATATTTATATCTGACTGCGAGCAACAAAAAGGAGGTGAAACTCGTCTTTTCAGTTGTTTGCTTGGAGCATCATAGTTACCTCAGGGCTGGACTGTTTCAGGCATCATGTCGTCAAGACAACCTGGAGAAAGATTGAATGACAGCATGAGAAAAGGAATGCACATGAAAACAGCAATGAGACGTTTTGTGTATTTAACACAGCCAATCGGGTCACTGTGCTGTAGACATACGTACCTTCCTCAACATCAGATTGTCTCGCAGGGACCCGCTGATGGTCGTCTGGAAGAAATGATCACAGTATATGAGATTTGCCGTACGTTGCAATAGATGTAAGGGAAACTGTCACCATATCAAGCAAGTTTATGACATGCAACCACTGACAGATCTCCAGTGGTGAGCGTCTGTAGCATTAGTCAGACGAGGTTATGCTTCAGATACTTGTGATTAGTGACTAAGGTTTTCCACGGATGTCCAGCGCAATACTGCAGAACCCTACTTCCCAAGAAGTCTTAAAAATCAGAGGAAGCTCAGTACAGTTTGGTGCCCATGTTAATGTGAGGACAGTAGACAGTCAGCCGTGAACGTGTGTTTCAACTCCAAAGTTCCAAACAATGCAGCTGAAAGGAATGTTTTACAAAAGGTTGAAAAACACATCGAGACCTAATTTGAATTTGTCAAACTCGAATCCATCATCAACCAGCACTTGCTGATCTGTCAGCAGGTCTCCGTTCAAGGCGGTTAGAAACAGATAGAAAGCAAAATCAGTAGGTAGAGCGTTTATTCCAAACCTCTGAAGACACAGCCCTGATGCCAAGATAGAACAGAGTAAAAGCAGCAGTAATGATATGTCCAAAGATGGACGTACCCATAAGGGGGACAGCAGAGGGCCTCCGGGCGTCTGTCAGGACAATGACAGACATTGTCACTACAGGCACAGTCACTACACACATTTAGGTCACCAATCTTTGCCAGACATTTTGCAGACCTCAAACTATGTCCACTCTGCTGTTCAGACTGTGGAAAAGGTTGCAGCAGCTAAACTGCTCAGTGGAAAAAAAAAAAAAAAAACGAACAATAACAGGACTTCCTTCGTGTACTTTCCCCTCATGAATACCTTGGCCGCCCGCCAGCCAGGTGTTGGACAGGTTTTTCTACTCGCAAATGTTTGCTATCAACTGTCACCGTGTGTTGTTTTGCGTTTGAGTTCTTCACTGTTTACAGAAAGGAAGCGATGACGGCTCACGCGACATTCAAGCATCTCATGAAAAATCCAAATGATTAAATTAAATTCTGATCTAACTTACTGTTTGTTTGGTTTTGTTTTTAATTGTATTTCCTCACATGTGATATGCCGGTACACTTTGGTTCATTTTGACCTGAAGCAAAAGGAGTGTGCGCTCACTTTGAGATCGCCTTCTGTAGACCAACACCAACAGCAATCCGACGATCAGTGAACCAATGACCACCACAGGAGCGACAACTTTGGAGGGGAGAGTCAACCCTCCGCTGCCTCCCAGTTCTGAAAAAAATCAAACAGAAAATGAAAATGTGATAATCTGATGATTCAAATTGCAGGAAGTGGTTGTTGAAACGAGGTATGCATACAATGGTGGGAAGATCCCCTGTAGAACTTTAGCAAATTACATTCACTTTCCCTTTTACTCTCAGGGGAGGTCTGTAGATGTTTAGACATTAAGTAAAACTGTACACGTGCATGCAAAGCAGAAAGTTAAAAAAAAAGGAACGAGAGGGCAGGCAGGCAACAACCTCGCTATGTTGCAACGGTGTGCAACAGACACCTCATGGACAGATAATAGTCTGTGTCACAGCTGTGACAACTGAGGCACCAGCTCAGATCGCTGCAAAGATAACCTTCTGGTGGGTTTGTTTCATCAAAGAGAATGAACAGTGATCCCATGGCATGAAAACCCTCATCCAGTCGTCTCTGAAATCTACCATCATGCATAGTTTTCTTTGGTCAGATGCGTGTTCTGGCCTGTCAGCTGACTTGTGCATCAGCAGAAAGTCAGCAGCAAAAGACCTGCTATTAAGAAGCCTTGCCAGTGCATGAAAACCTCCATCTTCTTCTGTGGCTTTTGTTCCATTTTGCATTTGCAGGGTGTGTTTTTTTTAAGTTAATGCTTCATAAACACTTTGCTGTTTGTGTTGGAAACTTCAGCCTACTACGATCTCCGGCGATGCCAATAAAAACATGTCCTAGCTTGCGGCTCTTACTTACGAAACCGCGGTGATGTTTGTGTTGCTACGAATTTCCAGATTAAGAAATCCCCTTAGATTTATCTGTGGCTGAAATTACTGCTTGGCATTCTTCTGTGTCCAGCTGGACTGAGCCTGCGGGTCTATAAGGTATCAAGTGTGGTGCTTAATAACATACACTCAATAACATCTACCTGCAGGTGATGGCGGTGGCATTTCAAATGTGGTTGAACCCTCTTTGCCTCCACTGGCATTGAACACCATACAGGTATACTTGGAGAAAATGGATCCTTGCAGCAAAGGGAACGTGCTCGAGAGCCGAAACAGGCCACTGCCCGACTTTGTCGCATTCATTGCTGCGCTCCTTGTCCATTCCCCACCATCTTGGTCAAACCAGCGAAGCTGACCTTTTGGGTAGCCACCATCAGTGATACAAACCAGTTCACCGACTTGATTTGGGATTTTTTTCTCAGGGATGGAGTGGAGTACAGTTGGTGCTTTGTATGTGGCTGCAATGGAAAGCAAACATAGTCAGTGGGCTGAACAAAGCATTGTATCGCATCATGTCAATCAAATGGCAACAACAAAGTAACTCAATAACATCCAGTAGCCACAATATGTTACTGGGACTAAGCAGCACAATATGTTGTAAATAAGATAAGAAAATGGCTACCACAACAAATATGAACATAACTGTCAGAAAGAAAGTGAAATCAAATAAAGACAGTTGACAGCATCTAAGGGGAATGCCTAACAGCTTCACCAGGAAAGTCCCCTGACCTCAGAATAATTTTCCTTCTTTAAGAGAAACAACTTTTTTCAGGAGGTCAGTTTTCTGTGTGTAACCAAACACCAGTAACAGCTTTCCTAGTGTTTTAAATTCAATTTGAGCGACTGAGAATTAGTTTTGTGAATAAACTCTCAGCTCAAAATCTTCATCTGTCTGTGCCAAGTGGTGGTAAAAGTGTTTCACTTTCACCTTTGACTGTGAGGCTGGTATGGGCCTCGTCATCGCCGCTGTCTGTGATCACCATGCATGAATAAACTCCATCGTCTGTCACTGCAGTGTTGGTGATGAGCAGAGATGTGTTCCTGTTGTTCTCATCCCAGGCCGGCTCAGCAAATCTATAGCCTTTCTGCGCGTCCACATCCCCTTGGTGAAAAACCAGCAAGGGTTTCTCAACTCCTTCTTTGGTCCACGTCACAACCAAGATTTTTGCATCTGCTCCTTCTTTTGTGGTTTTTACAAAACACTCCAGGAGTGACTGATGGCCGTGCTCTCCCAATGTTTGAGCGTTGCATTCGACTGTTACAAAAGCTGTGGGAGACAAAGTTAAAATGAGTGGGGGGGGGGTTACACTGGTAGGAAGCACAATTTCATAGTCATAGTATTCAGATTATGAAGGAGCTTACATGTCTGTGCAATCGCTGCAGTGATGCAGAGGACAGTCAGAGTAAGGCAGAAGGTTCCGCTGGAGGCCATGTTTCTTTACCTGAAACGACAGTCAGAATTTTATTTATTATTTTTTGGGTTTTTAAATCAATTTAGATGCAGTGATCACCTGCTTTCAAACCACATGATGGATTTCTGTAAATCAAACTGCAGGATGTACAAGGCATTTCTGGTATGTTATATGGCCACAGATGCAGGCGGGACTGGGATAAAACTCACAATTGGCATTAAAGACCATATCTGCTTGTTGAAGAAATCATAATAAAACTGAAAGAACGAGTACAGCAAACAATGCCTCCATTGATGTCATGCTAAATCATTAACGTTCAGGGAATAACTAATAATAAAACAAATTACTACCCTGTTTCTGGGGGAAACCCAGCGTTCGCTTCCTGGATAAAATTACATTTACGTAATCTTTTCTTTACAAGGAAAGAGTCTTAAATTCCCCCGACAGTATTATGTCACTAGTTTTATAGTAATTTGGTCAAGATCCGTTAGTGGTAGGCCGTTTACGGAACTGTGACGAAATACAACAGTAGGGAACTTTCAGCATCACTGAGCCAAAGGAACAGCAGTCTTGTGATGGGCTTCTTTGTATGAAAGCATTCCTTTTCACCGAAACAGGAAGGACGTGACCAGTGTCGCACTGAGAAGTAGCAGTGGCGGAAGTATTCACCGCCTTTACTCGAGTAAAAGTACTAATACTGAAAACACACTGTAAAAATTCTCTGTGACGAGTAAAAGTCCTGAATTTAGAATGTTAGTTAAGCAAAAATAATACAAGTATAATCAGGAAAATGTACCGAAAAGATTCAAAATAAAAGAACTCTATGCAGAAAAATGTGACTGTTGCACTAATACACATGATGTCATTAGATTTTACTCCAGCAGGTGGTTGAGGTGGAGCTCATTTTAGACACTTTAGTGCAGGACAGCGCCTGATGGTTATTTTTATTATTGGTTGGTTAGTAAAAATTCTTAAAATAGTGAAAAATGTCATCACAATTACCTCAAGGCCGATGTCACACCATCACAATTTACAAAAAAAACCTAAAAAGACAAAAAAAGAGAAAAAATTCATATTACAAAATGATTTTTTTAAAAAAACAAACAAAAAAACACACAAAATCTTCATATTTGTGAAACTGGACCCATAAAATGGTAAAACCTGAAAATTGACTTTAACTGTAGCAAAATAAATGTTAAAACTAATTAATTTTCAGTCAATCAACTCATTGAATAATCAACTAAATCATTTCAGCTGTACTTGTACAAACAGCATCTTTATTCACACTAAAACATATTTCACAAGTTCTTCACATGTCTTATGTGCAATAATCTTTACTTGTAAAGTAACTACAGCTGGGGTATGAATTTGCCTCTAAAATGCACTGAAGTAGAAAAAAAAAAGGTGCCATAAAAGGAAAAGACTCAATAAAAATACCTCAAATTTGTAATTACATACTTGAGTAAATGTGCTGAGTTACTTTCTACCACTGTGAATAAGTAATTGCGCTAAAAATTAGTTGTTATTTATCATCTAGCGTTAAAATTAAATGAATCCTAACCAATGGAAAATAGTATTTTAGTAGTTTTCCAACATACAAAGTGTGTGAGTGTATTCTCTGTTTGTTGTGCTGTTGCTCTTTTAGGAATTTTGGCAAAGACATGCATTTTTTTTGTTTTTGGAATGACATTCAGAACGGTCAAAAAAAATGTGTTGACTTGTGTAACGCGCAACAAGCTGTGACTTGTTTTTGATTACTATCATCCTTTCTGTAGCCAAAATAATTCCATACAACTGATGTTGAGTGCATTTTTGGCAAAAACCTTCCCATTTAGCATTTTCCATCCTGTTTCATTCACTCATTTTGATGTCAACATGCGGGAACCGCATGTCAACAAACTCCGTTTTAAATAAGATCAAAAAAAGAAAAAAAAAACATCCAAGAACCGTGAGCTGAAGGTCCGTTATCTTATATCAGATCGAGCTCTTTTCATGGACACTGGGAACTGTGTGAGGTTTAGCTTTTGTATTAAACAGAAAATAAATAAATAAACCCTGCAGCGTGACTTCATTTACTTCCCATCGGCCTTCCCGGGATGCGACTGTCGCAGCCTTGTATGAGAAAAAAAGCATCAATCCGTGGGTGTATCCTTTCGTTTGAGGACAGGAGCGATACCACCAAGAGCCAGATAAAACGGACAAAAAGCAGACGTAAGACAAACTGTTTCTCAGCGTCAGTGGAAACAGATTAAACGACCGAGACGTCCAGGACTTTATCGTGGCTGAGAGAAAGTTTGCCTCAACTGTTTTCTTTGTGTGACCACACAGTTACTCCCAGAGGTCACTCATGGAAATGCTTGAAATTTCGCTGCAATTTTCTCAGGAACCAGTCATCAGAACTGCTAAGTTTAGAAACTCTTTACTTTTTTTTTTTTTTTTTTTTAATCTTTATTTGTCTTAATTACGAACAGGCATTGTGCTGCGTAGGCGTTCCTGAAGTCAAATTATCTTGATTCAAAAATGTATAAACAAAACAGAAACAACCTTAAATTCAGAACATGTGTGGATTTTTAACAAGCGAAACACTGGCAAAAGTTTTGCAGTTTAAAAAGCTGCAAAATGCACTTTATTGTCAAAGAAACATTGTTTTTTTTTCTTTCGTAAAATGCTAAAAGTAAGCAGAGTAATCACTAAGAATGAAACAGATTATCGTGTGTGTGTGTGTGTGTGTGTGTGTGTGTGTGTGCATAATACACATCCCTCAAAGGTCTTACTTCAAAATACACAAATCAATCAAACCTACAAATCAAACTAAAAGTAGATAAGATCCAAAGCAGACCTCTGATCCCATTACTTCGCACGTCTGGTCCACTTTCGAAATGACCACAGCTTGCCTTTGTAGTCCTGCCATTGTCTTACCTTCTGTAAATAACCCAGCACTGCTTCACAAACCTGCCCAACCCCTCCGTCCTCCAACTCTATTTACTCTACACTTGTAATGTCCTTTCACTTCACAGATCAAACAGCCAATAAGTGATACAGAAACAAAAAGTTGACGCAAGACTTTCTCATCGTGCCACTGAAGAGTTTTAATCATCCCAAAGCATCTGGCTGTATCCTCTATGCAAACGGGGGAATTTTCCTTCCTATTGTGCGAAGCGCTTGCATGCACAGCAAAAACAAAAGTGCTGGTGCTGCTTGGTTTCACTTGGACTGGACTTTTTTTCCCCTTATTTTTCCATAAGCTGGCATTCTCTGCCAGTCTTCTCCTGCTGGGTTTTGGTTGTTTGGCATTTTCATTTTTTCCCATGCACCTCTCACACCACTAGAGGGAGAGACATGGTGCCTTTTTATTTCTATTATTCTGAGTAGGTTTGACCACATGTGCGATCCAACCCCCTCAAGTTACTCAAAAGATTGCTTTCAAAATGATCCCCTGTTGTGACATCAAATCAGAAAACAACTGAAAGTCACTGTGACTAAACCACACAAACATGATGCTCTCACGCAGGCTGCAGTCTGACCAGTCAGGTGATGGACGCATAATTCAAACATGTTTCGTGTTGCTCGTCCCAATGCAATCATCAAACCACTGCAGCTGTGAAGAGACGGACGCCAGAGTCCAAATCTCTTGTGTGCAGCTGTAAACATCTGCAGAACCCACACAAGCACGTTATAATTCAATTAGACATTTTCCCATCCGCCTGAAACTGGCCTAACTCCAACCCTGGACATAAACATACACGGACACTGTGATTCTAACTCCAGTATTGCTCATATTATTTAAATAATAATGAAAAATGTGTGGCTCATATTTGTCTATTAGTGTCACAAGTTGATCCACTTCTGCTTGAACAGCACTTGGTGGGAAATCCACATTGTCCTCTTTAGACCAGCAGAGCAGGTTTTATGATCCTTACCGTGTACTTTGATCAACTTTTGTCTGACTTTTGATAGGCGGATACAGCAGCTTTTTGAGGGTTGTTTTTGTCGGTTTTTATTTAAATAAGGAAGCAAACGTCAACAGTAGGAACACAAAAGTATTTAAAAAAATAAAAACGACAACAGCAGCCAGGAAAATGGCTCCGTACAGTAGACAGGTAGGCTGTACCTGAAGCAGGACTGACTCACCAGGTGTGTTGTTCAGTGTTCAACCATTATTAATATAACTCAATACATTTACATGTAAATACAACATCATAATAATAATTATAATAATAAAAACCACACACACACACACACACACACACCGGTGAACACACAAAAAGATATTCGTCGACACACACACGCGGCTACGTCAGCTGTAAGTTTTATGTCAATGACTTCAGTGTTTAGGTTCGTGAACGCAACAAAATGTCGCCTCACAGCTCAGAAACACAAAGCAGGCGGTCAAACTCACCAGACACGCTCCTCCGGACGAGCACCGAGTCTCTCAGTGGGGGATTTCTGTCTAACCGTCTGGTTCGGCTGTTGATCTGCCTACTTCGTTTTTATCGTACTTTCGGTTTCATTCTGAGTATGTAGGAACGCCTCGTGTCTGATTTAAGGACGCTCTGACATGTTGTTTACACAGCACGTAGGGCGAACAGAGGCCAGCAGATAAATAAAATAACAAAAAAACTCGCTGTAATAAATAACTGGACGAGAGAGTTTTGAATTCTTTCTCTTTGCTTTTCACGTGTAATGCTGCAGCAGGGCCGGATCTAGAGAAATACTAACCGGGTGGCATCTAGAGTTTAGGGGGTGGCATACCTGTGTGTGCATATATTTAACTTACCGTAAATTCAGGACTATAAGCCACTACTTGTTTCACGCTTTGAACGCTGCAGCTTAAACAATGATCCATCCATCCATTATCTATACACCGCTGGGGGGCTGGAGTCTATCCAACTCAGGGTGAAGGCAGGTTCACCTGGACAGGTCACCAGTCTATCACAGGGCTACACTTAGAGACAGACAACCAAGCACACTCACATTCACACCTACAGACAATTTAGAATCACCAATTAACCTCAACATGTTTTTGGACCTTGTGGGACGTCCGGAGAACCCGGAGAGAACCCACGCTGCATGTGGAGAACATACAAACTCCACACAGAAAGGGTGTCCTCACTGGGACACAAAGGCAACAGCGCTACCAACTGTGCCACCTCACAGCCCTTAAACCAGGGGTGTCCAATCCTGGTCCTTGAGGGCCACAGTCCTGCAAGTTTTAGACACATCTGATTCAAATGATCAGCTCATCATCAAGCTCTGCAGAAGCCTGATAACGATCCTGATCATTTGAATCAGGTGTGTTGGAAGAGGGAAACATCTAAAACATGCAGGACTGTGGCCCTCGAGGACCAGGATTGCCCACCCCTGCCTTATACAGTGATGTGGCTAATTTATGGATTTTTACGAATTTGCCTTGAGACGTAAGCGACATTGAGAGCGACAACAAAAGAGAGACTGAGAAAGTGTGTGACAAAGTAATTCTGAGGCACTGTTGGGAAAAAAGCATTTACGTAGTTGTGTATGCTACTGTTAGAAATAAGTATGTTTCGAGCTATTATGCATTCTGAATCTGTATTTTGCACTGAGCCTAAATAAATTCTGTATCTGAGAACTAAAGAATCGGGTCTAACACTACCAACGTTTTTATTTAAAAGTTTAAAAAATCTTTCTGTGTAAATACCTCATGTTCCAACGTGGACACCTGCGGCTTGTCGACAAATGTGGCCTATATATGTACTTGAAAACTTGTTTTCTTTTTAAAGTTAGTGGGTGCGGTTTATATTCAGGTAGTCTGGAATTAACGGTAATCCTCATTAGGGCGAGTGAAGGCAGGTGACACAATGCTAGATAAAAATGTGTCCTAAATTTAGCAACAAATTAGATCGAGACTAGACATGTTTCTTCTATGCACGTGTATTTGCGTGATCTATGCTTATGTTAGGCCTGTCACAATAAATACATTAGATTTTCACACTATAACTCCGATACCTGGATATTCTTAAGAATTAAAGGCCAACTTATGATTTTAAAAATAAAAGATGAACTACATCAGATAATATTTTGTCCAAAAGGGTAATTATTGTGACAGGTGCACTTCTTACTCATAATACTAAAGCAATATTCACACCAAGTGGACCAGCTGGACAAGAGATAGCCTCTGACAACATCGGGCCTCTCATTTCGCTTTCACTGTCTAAATTCTGCATGCTTTTAATTCTTTCGCCCTCCTCCATCTCCTCTCTGTGATGCTCCCCCGCTCTCTTTTATTAGGCTGGAAACAGCTGGTGATGGCTCCCTTCCTCTTCATTCTTTATTGTCTCCTACAAGAGTCACACTGACTCATCTGTGTTTTTCCTTTGACAGTTTCATTATTAACTATGATACAATCTTATGTGTACAATTTAAAGAGGTGCTCAACATTTAAACATGTTGTTTGAGCCGTTAACTAAATCATGATGAAACACATCAATGCTGGTGTTATTATGACACTAAATTTATAAAAACCAACACTGAACAAAGGCTGCAAGGTGGCGCAGTTGGTAGCACTGCTGCCTCGCAACAAGAAGGTAGCCGGTTCGGGTCCAGGATCTTTCTGCGTGGAGTTTGCATGTTCTCCCCGTGCAGCGTGGGTTCTCTCCGGGTTCTCCGGCTTCCTCCCACACAGTCCAAAAACATGTTGAGGTTAATTGGTGATTCTAAATTGTCCGTAGGTGTGAATGTGAGTGTGCTTGGTTGTCTGTCTCTAAGTGTAGCCCTGTGATAGACTGGTGACCTGTCCAGGGTGTCCCCTTTCTTCGCCCTAAGTCGGCTGGGATAGACTCCAGCCCACCCACGACCCGAGTGAGGATTAATTGTTGTATAGCTAATGGATGGATGGATGGAACTCCATGTGAAGAACTGCAGACACCAATCAAACATAGAAAGCATGTGCAAAGCCATTGTATTGAAAGCAACCATCATAGTATTTAAATGGCCAAATCTTGCTGATTTTTGACCTTTTCGTCTGGAAAAAGTGCAAAATAGGGACATTTGCTTGTAATATAGTATTTTTACACTGTGTTTTTACCGCCTACAGTATGTAAATGATCTGAATATGAACACACCACCACTGAGGAATACTGCCAACAGCATGGAGAACATTTTGCATATGTTTGACTGTATGCAAAGACAATATCTATCTTCTTATTTTAGATGAGGGAAACTTTTACATCCAGCTCTCCCTCTGTAAACCAAGCTGGGGTCAGCGGCGGCTTAGCGCATGCGCAATTCATTTGAGGGTCTCTTCTAATCCGACCGCAGCTGCGCAGTACCTTTGACCGCCTGTGAGGGCTTCGGGACGGGGAGGAGATCAAACACCTGCTGCTCACAGCACAACGATACGCGCTTTTTCGCCAGTTTCCAAAACACCAGAAAAGTCTCAGACAACACCAGAAAAAGTCGCTAGATTTGTCGCTAGTCGCTTTTGGGGAACAAAGGAGAGGATTTGGAAAGTCGCCAAGTTGGCAGCGCAGGTCTGTGTGAGAACCGCGCTGTCTTCGTGGTGCATTCACAAGCACTCGGAAATCGGAGGTTCGCTCGTTATTCGTCGTATCCGGACTTTTGCTCTTTCCGGCGGGCCACAACCCTTTAGATCGTTAGGAACTGGGGTGGCAAGGCATCTTCTAGGGGTGGCATCCACAGTAGATCTGCCCCAGCTACACACATAGTGCAAGATTTTTAACACTGCACTTTCCCCCCCCCTTTACATACCTCAGGGGTAAGGATTAGTTTTTCAATCCTTCCCCTTCTCATTGATTTAACCCCTAAAACCCATGTCTGTGTAATAAAGCTACATATTCATACATTTTTTTAATCCACAAAGGCAACTCTCATTGCTTAATCTAGAATTTGCTTTATAGTTCCAACTCATCCCTCCACTGCTCGCTGCAGCAGGAGCACACCAGCTCACCAGCGACTCTGCTCACACACTATTAAATCTACTCTATGCTACCAAGCGGTCATCTCTGAGGGTGGAAAATGAAGCCAGTGCGCAATTCCCAAAAAACTGCAACCCCAGGTTGTCCTTTTTCTTTGGTAAGCTGTAAATCTTGTGATTCAGGCGGCGTGCATGTTTCAACAGAAAAGCAATTCTTAAGAAAGATTTGTAAAGCCTCACTCTGCAAGTTCATAGGTCATCGGCACACCTCTGTTCCAACGTGGAAATGCTCATTCATGTCATTACCTGTTCATATTACACATATAAAGTCTTTCAACATATAAAAAACACTAAAAAAATCTTTGCTTTTGGTAATATTCTCGCTTTCAGTGAGAATCAAATGATCCCTTTCCTCATCCAATGCAAGTGACACGAGGACAAAATCTTCATTTGACAGCAAACATATTCAAAGTTGACCTAATCTCAGGGATCAGCAGTCAGTCAAATCAAGAGGCTATCTCCTGAAGTCTGTTTGGCCTAAAGTTTCCTATAAAAGGCACTAACCTAGAGTCGAACCACTCAGGCTGATAACACACACAGCAAATGCAATCAATGGTCAAAATTGACTTTTAATGTTAATTTCCACTTGTGCCATTTCTTGATTTTCAAATTTCTGCAGTGACTTATATCCAGCAACAGGAACTGGTAAGAGGATGCAAACTGACATGTTCTGCATCGCAACACACGTTTAAAAAAAAACAAAAAAAACAAACAAAAAAAACCCAAACAGAGACACCACAGGCAAGACATGTAGATTTTCTTGCATGACAACTGGTGGACGCAGCAGTCATGCACGTGACTTAACAGAGCAGAAGCAGGAGGGGATTTTGGTTTAAACAAGGTCACAGGAAACGTACAAAAAGATTGTTTCTAGATTTCCAGTGAACGGTAATAATTAACGAATGTATACGAGGGGAGGGGGGAGGGGGGGTTAAAACTGTGAAAAGAAGGCTGGGCTGTCATAAGGTCACTTGTCAAATCTCGGACGGGTTTACCGGAAACGCTCCAGAGTCAGGACCAACAACATTCCATTGATTTGCCATTGAAAGGAAACAAAAACAACATTGGTCTTTGCGATACTGCGAGGATGAAATTCAGGAAACCCAACCGTGTTTGATGCTGTAGCCTAACACACAAACACTTTAGAGTGAATTTTTGAGCAAATTTCTTTACCTATAAAAACAACGGGCACTTAAAACCGGCACTGGAGGGGGGTTTTACAATAATCTAAGGTTAGTGACTACGATATAAAAAAAGGCTTGTTCCGACTCTGTTACCTGACAGGGGACCTACGGTAATCATCAGAAGACAAACGTCTGCGTCTTTCAGATCACAATTACAGTAATTTATGTGGATAATAATACTATAATCAGTAGAAAGAGTCCAACTTCATGCAACAACAGTACGACAATTAGTCCACAAAATAACAACTAACAAACAGGTTAAATTATATTGAAAGGAAAAAAAAATTTAAATAAAAATCTTCACAGTTATGTTTCTTCTCACATTCATACGTTACAGACCGGACATGCATGCAAGATGGGTCAAAAATGAACACAGTGCAAAAGTTGGGTTTTTTTTCTTCTTCTTCCTTTGCTTGTGTTCTACAAACTGCTTGTATGATCACCGACGGCTTCTGCCGCGGCCATAAAGTTAGGGGACATTTACCATTGGTTGATATGAGAAATGTGAGCCTTGTGCCCTTCCTGGCAGGTCGAATGCATTTCAGGGGGAAAAGGCAGACGTTGAACCATATACATAGAAATACATAAAGTGCTTCTGTCAAAATGAAACAATAAAAACAGTACAAAACAGTTTTCAAAAAAGAGGTATCAAAACAATGCACTTGGGGATGTGGAGGAGAACTGGTGTCTGCTGGACATCAGAGGATTCCTGCGGTACAGACAAATGGGCTAGGGGGGACGGGGACCAGGGACCAGGGACCGGGGACGGGGGGCTCTTGTTTTGAAGAAAACAAAAAAAAAAAAAAAAAAGAAGGGAAAGAAAAGATGAGTTCAGAGACGAGTGGAGGTAAGGAGGGGTAGTTGAGTGGCACTCAACCCAGGATGAGGCTGGATTTGCCCCCTGGGGGATTTCGGCGGCCGGATGGTAGCCCTGCGGCGGCTTCTTCAGCCTGGGGGGCCTCGTCGTGCTGCGGCTCTGGGACTGGTTCGGGCTCGGCAGCAACGATTTCTGTACACAGAAACATGCGAGACAACATCAACGAGGTACTTTTGTCTCCAGAACACACCCTTCGGAAGCTCGCCAGGCTCAGTCAAAAGGCTGAGCGTTAGCCGGAGGGAAAGCTATGCGTATAATAAATGACCAAATGACGTGGGAGCGTCAGTCCTTTGCCTTTCAAGTGCTGCTGCTTTGTCATCTAAAAGGTCTATTGTTGCTTTGCTGTTTTCAAATGTCAGATCAAGGTTAATCCATTTCTCTATACTCTATTTAGACACATTCATGGTATTACTGCTGCCAAAAAAACCTGTTAATACTGAAATAACCATGAACTTTTTAAAGAATTTTAAGTGGTAAATAATATTAGTTGCTTCCTGATGTATCATTTTTTTCTTTTCCCTCCTTTCTGTGCATGTTGTGAACGTTACATGAAAGAAATCAGCCAACAGGTGGGTACAGGGAGCTGATCAAAGCAGGTTCTTACCGGTCTCGCGTACAGAGTTTTCTCCATCCTAATAAAAACAAGCAGAAAAGAGAGGATTTAGTGTTCACCAGCATTCACTGATAAAAGAAATTCTTTAATATGTCATCAGATTTGATGGAAAAACACAGATGCGCCGACTCGTGAAATATAAGCAGGTAATACCTAAATGTCCTTCGGTAATGTCTCATTTCATTGTTATTGCTACTGAAGCTATCTTTGCGAGACATTAAAGGGAAGATAAAGACAAAAACAATGACATTTCAAACCATTTGGACCTCCTGTGCTTCCTTTATTGTTTGTCTGACTTCAGGTTTCACTTCATTTCTTCCCACAACTCATGATCTGAGGCGTGATCTTACTGTGGCGGGGGCATCTCCAGAGTGATTGGTGGCGTGGTTTACTCCTCTCCTCAGGGGGGCCGAAGGCTCGCCACACAGCACACCGGTGGGCTTCCCACCTGGAAGAGCAAGGAGGCGTCAAGGCTCAGAGATAAGACTGGACATGTTTGTGTTTTAAGTGACTCGAGTCGGTACCAAAGTGCTAGACGGACAGGTCAAGAGGTCAACATCATTATCCCTGGACGCTACTCATGTGTCTAACAGGGACTGTGGAAAGTCCATTATTAGCAAACAGCATCTCAAATATATTGGATACGTATCCTGTGACATAGATCATGTGTAACTCATTTTTCACACATTTATTAGAGCATCTGTCATGAAAATGAGAAAACATAGATATCTTAGAAATCTTGTTTAAAACTAAAAATGTTCTTATTTATTAGGCAAATAAACTGAAACAACTAAACTGTCCTTTTTCACACATAATAACCAAAAACCATAATATTTCATATGGCCTCCTGTTGCCTTGATAACAGCTGGATTCTTGCTGGTGTTGTTTTTATTTACATTTTGACAGCCTCTTTTGTTATTAGTTCCAGATAGTTTCCCGCTGACTTGCTTTAGATGACACTTCTGTGCGATCAGTCTTTGAGTGTACAGTCATGACTCGATAATCCGACCCTTAACAATCCCAAAACTTTGCTGTCTGACAGGTTTTTTGGAAAAATGAACGGAATCCATTAAAAACAGCCTTAACATACCGACAGCTTTGGATTTAGACTCCGACATGACATTTTATGTCACAAATCAGGATCACGGCATTTATCTGACTGAACAATCCCACAGATTGGCTACGTTCACACTGCAGGACTTACTGCTCAATTCCAATGTTTTTGTGAAATCAGATTTTTTGTGAGTTCGTTCACATTTCTAATTAAATGCAACTTGTATGTGATCTGCTGTGTGAACATTATACAACCCACAAGTGTCCCGCATGCACAGAAGAGGACACGACGACGTCACACGCAGCGAGCGTGCTCAGTGTTTACGGACATAAACACGGATGGTAACGGTGGAGCGTATCCGCCACTCCCCCACCGCCGCCGATGGTGGAAACAGAAGTGTGACCGCTGACTAAACTGGCATCAGCAGCCAAGTACTGCCTCTTCGTTCCCGTCCTGCTGACAACGCTTTATATTCGGATATTCATCATTAATCGGGCCTGAATATCCAGAGACCAGAAAGTGCTATTCAGACCAGCCCTACTAGTTATTATAACAACTATGAACAATAAATGTTAACAACAAATGAGCCTTCCAGCATCAAGCCCTCCTTGTATCTGGACCTCCATCTTGACAATCCGACAGCCTTGCTATCCGACATAAAAGAAGGTTTTACATTTAGTGTCAGATTATCGAGTCATGACTGTACTACATCCCTAATTTGTTACAACAGGATTCAAATCTGGACTTTGACTTGGCCAGTCCATCAGTTCCAGGACTCCAGACTCCTTTTTCTTTGTCAAACAGTCTCTGCACAGCTTTGAAGTTTGCTTGGGGTCACTGTCTGGTTGGTATCTGAACCCACGACCCATCAGATTCAGTCCAGAAGGGATTCCATGATGCGCTGACATGCTGTCGTAGACGCTCTTGTTCATGATACCGTCCATTTTCACTAATTTGCCCACAAATGGAACCCCATACCATAACGCAATCTCCACCGTGCTTCACTGTGGGTGGAATGCATCTGGCATCTAAACGTTCTCCAGCTTTTCTGCGGACATAAACATGACGGTGCCGGCCAAAGAGTTCAAATGTAGACTCGCCCGTCCAGAGCACCTTCCTCCAGTCATCAACAGTCCAGTGTCTGTGCTCCTTGTAAAATCTGAATGACTGCAGGCCTCAATAATGGCTTCTCAGCAGCTCTTCTCCACTTTAAGTCTTGTTCCATCAGTCGTCTCTTACGGCCATTCTGGAGACTTTCTCAGACTCTGATCCAGAAGCATCTATCTCTGCTTGAAGAAGGTCTCCGTTCTGTTTCCAGCACTTAATCCTGAGGTGTCTGACAGTTTACTTTCATTTCCTGTCTCTTGCTTGACCACACTGTGAGATCACTTTCTGTCTTTCCCTATTTGTCTGAGACCATCCCGCATCATGAAGCACTCTTTCATTTTCAGTGAGCTCTCGACGTTTTACCATTTTGAACAGGAATGAGGAATTTCAAAGTGAATTCCCCTTTTTATCGTTGATGTCTGCTATGTTGGCTCCAAAAACCTCAAGCGAGGCCCACAAATGTATTCACCTCAACACAACTACAAAACAGAAAATTATTTCGGACTAAAAAGTACATAAATAATAACTGAAAGTAAAAAGTAAAAATGCAAAATCTAATTTGTATATCTATCTTCAGTGACTCCATGATGTCTACGACCATCAGATGATAACAGGAAGTACGGCTGCTATCGTTGGGCTGCGATCTTCACACAAAAAGTAAACATGCAGAGCACTTCCATCTGGTTCTGTTTTTGTCCAACTCAGAGTTTAAGACATCACTGAGGATCCTGTGTTTGATTCTTTTTGGCAAGCAACAATGGGAAATAAAGGTCCCACGAGGGGAAACCACCCTGATGACATGACCTCCTGACCCACATTATACCAGGAATTTCTTTGCAAAAAAATGACTCATTTCCAACTAGTTTTTACATTGTGTTGTGGGAAATTTTAGGGATTTTTAAAGTCCCACTTTCAAACTAAAGGCCATTATTATAATAAATCCATTCACACTGATGGTCATTTGTTTTAACACCGATATGCAGTCACGTCCGGCTGCGTAGGCTCTTTTTTACTTGGAGCCAAAGGGAGTTTTTGCTTTGTTTCCAATGACCTAACTCACAGACGTGTCATTTTGAGAATAAATACAGCTATTTAGAAATGCCATCAATCGGCATGTGGGTGGGACGATTAATCATAGCCAGAAGTGTCACCAAGTGGCATTTTCGGTTCTCGAATCTTTGTGTCCGTCACAAAGGATTTCTGGTGGGCAAGAACGTTGTTGTAGATGTTAACAGTCATGTGGAGCATCGAGGTATCACGTAATTATGTATATTTAATCAACTTTAAATAATCTGTCTGCTATAAAAATCAACGAGAAAACACGATAGATTTTATTTCACATTTTGCTTCCATCTGCAGTTTCGTGGAGAAGCTTCAAGTCATTTATGTGGGAAATGTGAGTTTCAGGAAGCACGTGAGCTTCATAAATATGCTGCAGGAACGTCTGCGATACGACACGATAAAGAGACTTGTCATGGGAAGACATCGCGGCATGTTCGTTCCAGGTTCAGGCTTGTTTCACTTCTGATATGAGATGTCCAACATTTTTCAAGAGTCAGACAGACATGAACAGAAGGAAGTCTAAGAAGGTTATTAAATGAATAGGATGTGTAGTGAGTGTGTTGTCATGTTCTCACTACCGGCATGAGCAGCCCGAGAGAGAAACCGGACGTCAGAGGATTTGATATCATGAAATATAAAACACAGAAATAAACAAATAGTGAATTACGCTGCCATTTTATAGTCAGAGGAAGCCCAGAGGAAGTGTGATTGTAGCTGCTTCTGTTGATTTTAAGACCAAAGCAGTGTTTTTCTTGATTATACACATTTTTGGTGCCTTCAGGTTCCCCCCAAAAAGCTTTTAGAGGAAAATCAACCAGCATGATAAGAACAATCTCTGTAGACATCAGTGTCTACACAGATTGTCGACATTTTTTTGTTTATCAAACGGCCAAAAATAACTGAAAGATTCTCAGATGTGTGTCAGATAAGGTGACAGACTCACTTCCTTCACCGTACACAGACTATTTAACCAATGTTTAAAATATGTCAGGACCAGAGGCCCACTTCTCTCCTCAAACTGAAGAAGTAAAAGAAGGAATTGAGAAGCGTTGCGTGGCTGTAGTAAATCAGGCTTCATACTGTCAGAGCTAACAGGCTCATTTCTATCATTTCATGTGAGAAGTAAAAGCAGGAAGAAGGAAATGTCAGATGGAAACATGTGAACTCTTCAATATGCGTCGAGTCTGTGACTACGCAGACGTTCTCTAAATATCCTCTGTAGGTGTTACTGCGTTACTCAGAAGGCCAAAAAAGGGAGTTTGTTTCAAGAGAAAAACGACTCTTATGTGTTACTGTGTCAAGAAAGATACCAAAACGTGTTTTCCTTTCTGGATGATGATCACTTCACCTTTGGACATCCCTGCTTTGATGAGTACACTTCAACCAGATGTAGGTAAAGCCACCAAAATGAGGTTTCATAGTGACACCAGATCAGTAGACTCATGTCCACAAAATCACACAGTCAAACTCCTAAATGTACGCTACAGCCTCCGTACGACGACAGCAGGCAGTCGGTATTTAAGATGGTGTTTACAAACCATTACACAGTTAAATTCTTTTTACGGCCTGAGGTCACTGTAGGGTGCGTCTGCCGAGAAAACCGTAGTAAATAGAGCACATATTAACTCCAGAGACAACAGAAGATGTTCAGTCTGAAGAAATTCATTTGTCTATCTGCTTGTGGAAAACTGTGGCCAACTTCACCAGATCGAATATACACGGCCGTCATCACTTTTACTGTTTCACTTCTTCTTTCAGTCACATTTTGTGGTGCCTGATACCACATTTAAAGAGACGCTGGAAAACCCGGGACTGGAAAAGAAAATGTTACAGTAAGGCCATCCGGAGTCAGCATGTCTCCATCAAAGACCAAAACTTTGATATCTCTCTATGAAATCCATATATTTTTAAATTCAATAATAAACTCTCAGATCAAACGAGGACTTTGGCAGCTTTACTTGAAATATTTCATGTATCTGCAACGTTGATAAGATTAGAAGGAAAACACCAGCGGCTGAACTTTCAATGAAGAGAAATCTGTTTGTCATGTGAGCACCTACGTTTATTCTGTTATTTAGGGAAGCACCACTGCCACAGCTTAACGTAGCGCTGGCAGAAGGAAGAACAAGTGAAACCTGTTCAGGATTATTCTTTGTTATCATAGATCTTGTGTTTTTAACCATCCTTCTTACCCCTAGTAGGGGTAAACTATTCAGATAAGATGGCAAACTGAGTTATAAGCTTTCACATTAAAGCAACAACTGTCTGCAGGTGAGACGAGCTGTACCTGGCGGGTTGTTCCTTCGATTGGCGTAGGGGTCCTCTGGCTCGGCGAAAACACTGGAGGCCATCTTGTTTTTTCGCACGGGAGGCTTCTCCTCATCAGCACCAAGTGAAATGTTGGAGCCGCCACCAGGAGGGCGCAAAACCCTGGAAGAAAAATGAGAGGGGTGACGCCGTTAGTGAAAGCTGGATCCAAGATGATGCTCATGATTCAACAATTATTTATTAAAAAAGAAAACCCTCAGATTAAAGATACAAAGAACTAACCAATGATTAAGTAGTCGCACTTATGCCAGCAAAAGGCGATCAGATGTATTTATGTCACTGCACAATGTGACCCCCTTTGTGAAAAATTTACAGATTTGATCTCACTGACTTATTTTTCAAAAACAAAAAGTGGTTGCAGCAAGAAACGACGAGGACTAGAGGGCATACCAGGCATGTTTCGAAATTTAAATTCCTTAGGAATGACAAGAGCAATCCTAGTAAAGTGCTGGTGTACATGCTGGACTTAACATGAGGCTGCTGCTGCTGCTGAAGCTGCACTTGGTGCTGAATGAAGAGTTCCAGCTGTGTTGACAAACTGGTGTCATCTATAGCAGAGGTCCTCAAACTTTTTGAGCCACGACCCCCAAGATAACATAAGCTTGTGTTTGTGACCCCCCAATTAGAAATTTTAATATATTATGAGTGATAACTTTGTTGGTCATGCTTTAAAAATGAATGCATCAATTCCACAGATTCATCTCTTGACATTAACACGTTAATTTTCTTTTGAATGAATGAATAAATTACATTTTTTTTGAACAAATGAAAGGGAGAAAAAATATATAAAAACTACAGAAAATCCTTTTAAAAAGAGCATAAAAAAGAAGAAGAATATGGCATAATCAAATCATAAAATTAACAAGTTCAAAAAAGGAGTGGGAAGAAGTATACACTTTCAATTTTGACAGTCCTATTACAAATTTATTTGATAAATGTAGGCTTTATTTATTTGTTTTTTCGACAATAATCTGGCGACCTCCTGAAATGATCTAGGGACCCCGTGGGGGTCCTGACCCCCAGTTTGAAAACCACTGATCTACAGCAATGATAACATGTATTTAGAACTGGTGTTTCTAATGTTGTACCAAATCATTTTATATCAACAAGAGCAGATGACACACAACCTCTCAGCATCACTCAGGTTAGTTTTACAGCCCTGATATTTCTAGTGTCCAAAATCACATCCACAAAGACAGGATTTACTCCCAAGACTGGTTTATCAGAATGCACGATTATTCACCAGGTGTGTCTGACAAACTGGGAACTGAATCATTGAAGCATTGCATGCATGATCATTATCCAAATTATTATTTTTTTCTTGTGAAGATCACACTGGACAGGTTTGAGTCAAACACAGTTTGGCATTTTGCATGAATCACATTGTGCTAACCTGGACTTTTGCATGATGAGCTATAACTTTCTGAAAACTCCTTCATTTAAACATTGTGGATTATTAATTGGCATCATTGCATCTTTCATTTCCCTAAACCAGTAGTGGATTGCTTGACACCTCCACTGCATCTGTGCAAATGAACTCTAACGTGCATGTAGCTCGGGTTAAAGTCAGGTGTGGCCAGCTGGAACATGGCCCTCGGCTACAGCAGACCCTATGCAGGGCAGACTGGAGGATGTCTTATTGTACCTCACTGATCATCATCTCGATAACTGATGTGAAATAAAAAGCGGTGGCCCCACCCAGCTGGAGGGACAGATGTGATGCTCTCTGCGTTTTCCCACACAATAAAGATGAAAAACCAATGAGGACGGTGGGGGAAGAAACGGTATAAAAGCATGGAAATGTGAAAGGCCTACAGAGGAAGCATCACCGAGCCGCCTCGTCTGTACCTGCTAGCTAAGCAGCTCCTCCACAAAAGGGAGGCTGCATGCATGCTATCTGGCTACACAGCTAGCTAGCTAGCTAGCTAGCGCTGTGAATGGGAATGGTCCATCCTAACGGACAAAACAGGAAGGTGTGGTGCTGAGCTTTATCCATGTACCGTCGCTCCATGCTTAGTTTCAAACCATTTCTAAACATTTAAACAGCAATTACAGGCAGGATACGGAACAAAAGTGTCTTATATTTTACGTTAAGCCACGTAGGGCTGAAGTCAAAGGATGCTGGACTTGTTGGCTTCATGGTGGCTAAACGGTTCGGAAACGCTCTGAACGACGCCTTTTTTTTTCCTTTTCCTTTTTTTACCTGGAACTGCTTTTAGCACCGGGCTCCATTCCTTGAAATGTCGTGGTAGTCGTCATTTTTGCAAACAAAAAAAGGATGTCGTACACTAGTTATAAATCTGTCAGGATACACGAGAAATACACTTTCATTAGCAGTACATCACCACCTCATCATTGTCTATCCTAGCTGGTGGTTCCCAATCATCTACATCAACCTGCATCCAGGCTGAGCGGGCCAGCGTCAAGCTAGCCACAGGAAGACACCGCACGTCCGGGTAGGTTTTCAAAATAAAAGTATGTCTGCAACGCAAATACAGGTTGCGGTGTTGTTTATGGTCAAATTAAGTCAAATTGAATTATATACAAACAGTCTGTAATTATACGTAATTTTCACTTAGATATTTGTTCTTTAAAATCCGCGCTTTAAGAGAAGTCACACATTTGGATTATAATTTAAAGGCAAACTCTCCTTACTTCCGGTCTTCCCCTGCTCACTTCTGAGATTTGACACAGACGTATGGGACGCGACCACAGCCTAAGCACCGCCCACAAGTGTGCAGCTTCCTTTACGATTGGATCCTGAAACATTGATCAAGTCACTGATTGGACAAAATATTTATATGTCACGCACATTCTGTGACGTTGACCCCGGGATCAATAATCAGCTTTCATCTGGTATTAAATCGATGGTTTTAATCTTCAAAGAGGATCTAGGATTGATACCATTTGTGGAAACTAGACCTTGCCTGAGGCAGTCTGTGACCAAATCCATGTTTTATGTTCATACTTATCAAAGGAAAAGGTTGAATGTGTTCAGAATCATTACACAAAGCTGCAAGATATAGGAAAACCATAGCCTGCCACAAATACTGAAACTAAAATACATATATTGAATAAATGAGAGCAGGGGAAGACAGATCATT